GGAACAAGTTGAAATCCGATGCCTTGAGATATGATAAGCACCAATGTGTTTCTGCCAATGACATCTAACCTGATTCTATCATAAATAAGGCTACAATCAAATCCAAACCATGGATCATTCTGAACACGAGTGGCCCTGGTCTCTTCAAACATGTCAGTGTCATGAAAGAATAACAATTAAAAAAAAGGTATAACCCAATTGTAGCCCAAGAATATGGAGAAAGGGGAGGGGGAGGGGAGAGGAGGGGAGAAGATGAATGGAGGGAGGGTGATTGGTGGGATCAAGCCTATGGTTCATCTTACAAGGGTACATGTGAATGTTTCTAAATGGAGAATATAAATGTCTTAACACAATAACTAAGAAAATGACATAAAGGTTATGTTAACCGGTTTGATGAAAATATTTCAAATTGTATATAAAAACAGCACACTGTACCCCATGACTGTATTAAAGTACACGACTATGATTTAATTAAAAAAAAAAAAAAGGTTGGGAATCTTCGTAGAGACTTGACAATGAAATGAAATGTGTGAAACTTGATTGTATCCCAGACCCAATATTTTAAAATAACCATAATGCTTATTATTAGAAAAATATTATTCAATCAATGTTAAATTTCCTGAGAGGATAATTGTGGTATAATATATAGTATATTGTAGTATCAGTATGTCCCTGATTGTAGGAGACACATATACAAATTCAGGAGTGAAGGAATATGACAAAATGGGTGGAATCAGTAAAGAGGTATTTGTTACATTTTTCTTTTCTTTCTTTCTTTCTTTTTTTTGGGACAGAGTCTCACTATGTCACCCTCTGTAGAGTGCCGTAGCGTCACAGCTCACAGCAACCTCAAACTCTTGGGCTTAAGCGATTCTCTTGCCTCAGCCTCCCAAGGAGCTGGGACTACAGGCGCCTGGCTATTTTTAGTTGTAGTTGTCATTGTTTTTTTTTAGCCTGCCCAGGCAGGTTTCAAACCCGCCACCCCCCCACCCTCCCACACCCCCCACACCCCCCACCCCGCATATGTGGCTGGTGCCCTCACCACTGAGCTACAGGCACCGAGCAGCGTTACACTTTTCTATAAAATCAAAATGTTTTCTAAATAAGAAATTGAGGACATGAGCATAATAATATATGGTTTTGCGAGGATTAAATGCAATAATGCATACATAGCTCTTACAATAGTACTTGGCAAACAGCTGAAGCCCCATTAATCCATTTATGCCACAGGTTGAAATTTTTTCATTTTTCACGTGAAATTCACATATGTTACCTAAAAAAATTCAAGGAGCAACAACTTGAAGAGAAAAAATTTTATTATATTCTATTGTTATGGGGCAACCCAAAAATGGAACACTAGGCAGGACCCTTCCTACATTGTACATAATGTATGAAATCATGTTTGTTTTTAATCTCAGGAGGTGGTGACACCTGCTATTCAACAGTATACTTCACATGTAAGGCAACATCACATTTTTCACATCGAAAGTGGTGTTCTTACGATATTCATAAGTGAAAGCACACCATGTTTGCCTTCCCTGTTTGACTGGCATTTAATTCACGCCACCATAACGTGAGTTAATGTTACACTTCTGAGAAGGTCTTCCTCTCCCACCGGGTTCTGGAGGATGGCCCTGGGTCGCCACATACCACGTGTTGACAAAACTCCAGAAAATCCACTGGCTTCCCATCATATGTTTTATGCAGTTGCCACGCATTTTGTAAGACCAGTTTGAAACAACGAAAGACGGCTTGAATAACATTTCTTTTCTTGGATTGATGCCGATACTTATCAATGTTGTCATCAGTTCTGTCCATGTCTCCCATGAAATGGTTATACCCTTTGATCATTTTTGGCTGCTGAACTTG